TCTCTCAAATTTCCACTCTCTCAAATTTCCAATCTCTCAAATTTCCAAATTCTCAAAATTCTACTCTCAAATTTCCACTCTCTCAAATTTCCAATCTCTCAAATTTCCACTCTCTCAAATTTCCACTCTTTCAAATTTCCAAATTCTCAAAATTCTACTCTCTCAAATTTCCAATCTCTTAAATTTCCAATCTCTCAAATTTCCAAATTCTCAAATTTTCAATCTCTCAAATTTCCAAATTCTCAAAATTCTTCCAAACTCTCAAATTTCCAATCTCTCAAATTTCCACTCTCTCAAATTTCCAAATTCTCGAATTTCCAATCTCTCAAATTTCCAAATTCTCAAATTTCCACTCTCTCAAATTTCCAATCTCTCAAATTTCCAATTTCGCAAATTTCCAAATTCTCAAATTTCCAAATCCTCAAATCTCCAAATCCTCAAATTTCCAAATCCCCAAATCCCCAAATCTCCAAATCCTCAAATTTCTACCTTAAAATATCTCACTCTCCCACCCTAAAATATTACACACCAAATTCTCACATATAAAAAGTCCCCCAAATTCACAAAACTCCCAAAATTAAACTATCATCCCCCCAAACAAGAAAAAGCCTACACAACTATACTCGCTAACCCAGACCAGGTCATAAATGTGGCCACCCAACAAAATTTACAAGCCCAATTGTAGTTCTGCGTAGAAAAACTTGCAGGTAAAGACGACGAAAAGCTATTGTATTTCCGTGCAAACAGTCTCGGTGCCATTTTTGCATCCAACAGTACAATTTGACGTTTCACGTTTATTTCGTCCACGGCTGACATCATCGTTATTCTCAACCGTTCTCATGTGATTGTTATCTGCGAATCAGTGATGTTCAATAACTCGGTTAATGTGACAGCTCGTGTTTTCTTTTTCTCTCTTTCGAAGGGGCCTCTGATTAGTTTCGATGTTTGCATCGACTGCTCGACCGGTTGTCTGTTTCTTTATGTTAATAGCTGTTTTTGCTGTCACGCTACGTAAATGGTTTTACAATTCTGATCTTCATTGACTGTCACTTTCTTACGAAATAGTTGAGTTCTTTCTTAAATAGTTAAGTTCTTTCTTTGTCCTTCCGTTTACGCACATGCTGTTTTCGTAATTAGAATCTTTATTGTGAAGTGTAACGCTTCGGTTAGGTGATTTTAAAGTTTAATTCTTTTGTGGAAATTTGCTTTGTAATTTCTGAGAATGGTAATCGGATTGAGGAACGTTATTTTAGTTTTTATACACTGCACAATCATGGTAGTATGAAGAAGAGGATTTATTATAAATGAATAATAGTACTTTACATGATAATAACCTCTACTTTAAATTATTAGATTATTCTACCTTTTGGTTTTGGACAAAATTATGTACGAAATAAAACATAATACAAATAACTACATTTCCCTCTTAAACCGTGAACATTAACAAGAACAAAGTTAATTAAACCCCGGATGTGTAAAAAATTTTCAATTCCACTGCTGCATTACTGATTAAAATTCTAAAATAAATCTTTAAAATAATGTACATATTTTTCTTTATTGTATTTATTCATGGTTGAAAAACATCGAATGCAATTTACCATCGTTATTATTAAAAATTTTGAAATTAACTTCACATAAAATTGTTCGAATATCGTTTTTGCGACAAGAAAAACAAGTCAGCTTTTTTCTCTTAAGTCATTATCCATGAATAAGTGGCTATTTATAGATCAGACTAAGCATATTTCTTTTTGCTATATATATGATCGCTTATTTGAATAATTACGTGCACACGAAGTTGCTGAGTGATAAGGATATACACGAGGAAACGTGGCGAGAATTTTTCTTTGTCGTTCCAATCGGTATTTATTTATAAATTAATATTTATAAACATCGTACGTTGCACCAGTCTTTTTTCTTCCGATATCTCCACGGCCATTTTGCGTTTCTCTAATGCAACGCTATCTGAACTTGAATAAGAGTATTTCACAATTTTGATTTAATTAATGATTTATGATGGAGTTCGTGGTATGATAAAATTAAAACAAAGCTTGTAATACGAGAAACTTATAATGAAATTAATAAATATTGCTTTTAATACAAGTAGTGGGATAATAAAAATTATGAAAATTATACAAAATTGTGTGTGGTTAATAATAATTATAGGTACAGAAATAGTAATGTTTACAAACAGATGAATTTACAATGAAGTTTTTCAATTATCAAATTTTTTAGTACTGAAGGGTTTAGATTTTTAATGTTCTAAATGACATAACCTCAAATTTCCAAATTCTGAAATCTTCAAATCCCTTCAATTCCAATATCCAAAGATTCCATATTCTTATATTCTAAAAATTCCTAATGTTCATTTCTCTAAAATTCCACTCTCAAAAATTCCCAAATCCTCCAGTTTCCAAATCTCTAAAATTTCAATCTTCAAATTCCCCAATTCCCCAGTGTCCAAATCTCTAAAATTCCACTCTCCAAAAATTCCAGATTCTCAAATCCCCAAATTCCTAAAATTGCACTCTCAAAAATTTCGAAATTCACAAATTCCCCAATTCCGCAAGGTCCAAATCCCCAAAATTCCACTCTCAAAAATTCCAAATCCTCAAATTTCCCAATTCCCCAGGGTCCAAATCCCCAAAATTCCACTCTCTAAAATTCCAAATCTTCAAATTCCCAAATCCCTAAAATTCCACTCTCCAAAATTTCCAAATTCTCAAATTCCCCAATTCCCCAGGGTCCAACTCCCTTAAATTCCACTCTCAAAAATTCCAAATCTTCAGATTCCCCAATTCCCCAGCGTCCAAATCTCTAAAATTCCACTCTCCAAAAATTCCAAATTATCAAATCCCCAAATTCCTAAAATTCCACTCTCCAAAAATTCCAAATATTCAAATTCTCCAATTCCCCAGGGTCCAAATCCTCAAAATTCCACTCTCCAAAACTTCCAAATTCTCAAATCCCCAAATCCCTAAAATTCCACTCTCCAAAATTTCCAACTCCTCAAATCCCCCAATTCCCCACTTTCCAAATCCCTAAAATTCCCCTCTCGAAAACTTCCAACCCCCCAATTCCCAAAACTCCCCAACTCCCTAAAAAAAACCCTCTCCAAAAATTTCCAAAAGCCGCAAACTTTCTTACAAGTCTAAAAATCTCTTAATATCTAAAAATTAACCAAAACCTTAATATTAAAAAAAAAATATGTATCACGAAATCCGTGTTGATCGCTTGTACAAATGTTTGAAATCGAAACGGAACAACAGATTAGAGCCGCTGATGAACG